GACCATACGATGTTGTCAGTAAGGCCTTCTGTGCAGCAAAGCACAATATTTGTTTCACATCCCCGCTCATTGTGTGTTTACGACTGAGGGACAAAATGCCTAAATCTGCTGTCTCATTTTTTGTGTACTCCTTTACGTGTTCCTGTGGAACGACATGCATATACAGTACGGTCAGATGTTTGTCCCAAATAATTTGTAATCATCAACACGCATAGGTAAATACAGGAACCTTATCACTCATTAGTGCAGTGGTTTCACACCTAGCTAAAACACATCATACAGAACGTGACCGAGGTATCCTACCCCATGTATAGAGTCGGTGGTTGACCATTAGGGTAGGTTCTCTGAAGTATCCTTGCCACAGCGGAAGCGTTAGGAATATATTTGCTCAACCCCCTCTATGTTCCCGCTGAACAATTTATCCATGCACTGTATCTCCCTCAGCCCCTCACAAACACTTTGTACTCCGATTAGCCCCAATAATCCGATAACCCCCCAAATAATTATACAATCATTGGGCATCCCATATAGGAGGTAAAGACGAAATTAACCCCAATTACCGTGTGATGTGAATTATACCTTTCCCAAAACCATTTTCTAATAGATGACTTTTGATGTATTTTTACATTGAGAGATTCATTTATTGTGATGCATTGGTATGATTGTGAATCACTGAAAACGTTCGCCACTGTCCGAGCTGAAATGTGATCTGTGAGGCCGTTTAGGCGACAACTAGATTCTGTACACAAACGATAAATTCTAGTTAAATCCAAATTGCAATGAATATGATATCGCAAACCACCCAGTGCAAAAAGAGAGAATAACGGGACCGCTTATTGCTCCGAGTACTTAAAATCAATGAGGCATAAACGAGACATTACTAACTTGGTCTGGAGTCAACTGGAACATTCATTCCTCATCGCCTGATCTGCCGATTGGTGGATGCCACTGTGGTGATAGTAGAAGTAGTAGTGAAATTACGCACAGAATTCAGGACACGAACTACGCAATGGGAATCTCGGAACACGAAATAGAAATCCGGTGGCACTAGACCGCAATGGCTCGAACTCGCAATAACCCGCCGGATCGAGACTCGAGGAAAAAGGCCACAAGACAGGCGAATCACAGAGTCATTTATTGAAGGAAAATGAAAGTGGATATATATATGCACAAAAGAAGATCATTGGTTACCTTAGTTTCCACCAATCATATTGCATCACATCTTGCGTCATACTGCTCTTCTCTGCATTGTATCTGATTGGCTGGAACGGTCCACCAATGACTTGTATCCGGAGGCTGTGCACATGCTACTGGCGTCAGCGCTCAAGGTCGATTGACTACCAATGTCCGGAAACTGTACCGCGCTGCTCCAGGGCAGGCGTAATCTCGTAGATCCGAATCAGCACAGCTACATACCATCACACACGCACATACGTCGTGAGACGTCGATTCGCCTCAGCCAATCGGGTGTCAGTATTGATCTGTCCGCATTTATTGGTTAATTGGCTATCCAGCGTGACCGTAGTCTATGTCCTGGTAACGCTTGCGCCACTGGTTGGTCCCGTTAGCTCATCGGTCTTCCGACCGGCTGCGTGTGTTTGCCCTACTTTGTTCGTTAGGGTTTACCCTTTCGCTTTCTATCTAACTTCGCTAAACATTTAATTTCGAAGCAGCTCTATCTTCGAGCAAGGATAGTAGCATTAAGTTGCTCCCAGACGATAAACTTTCTTATCTGGATTAAGCAGACGGAATTCTACTGCCAATTGAAGACGCAGATTAGTTGTACGCCTTTCTGAACGGGTTGATTGTTAGGTTAGCTATATTTTTCATGCGTTTTGCATAATTCTAAATACAAAATGTTGCTACAAGTCTCTGTCGATCCAGGGGAAGTATTAGAGCAAGTGGGCCAGTTATTCAGGAAGCTATATCTCACCCGGTGGGCTATGCATCACGGACGAAGTGTCTGCTCACATACACACTCGATTGACATTCACTAACTTGAGACACTTTTGGTAGAGTTGCGAAATCCTGCTGTTCGTGAAAAGTCCCGTGTATGCTACAGCAGTTTGGTCAGTTCTGATGTACGACACGAGGACTTAACCACTACGAAAACAAGGTAAAGTGGTCGACCTTTGTAGACTGCGTTAGTTGAGGCATGTGTTACACATGTCACCAAATAGATGCGTACATTCTCTTTGTCGAGGCAGGTGATGGATGGAAAAATGTAGAGGACGGTGGTAGCCAAGTGGTTAGGTCATCAACTAGTGACTTGGGTGTCCAGGGTTCAAACCGCTTCACCGCTGCCCGTCTTCCTTGTATCTGTATTTTCCCCAGGCAACCTTTATGTATGGCCTCAGCCACCTTCCTGAAAGTTGACTGTACATTCGTATATTCAATAAATTGAAAAAGGAAGTAAAAAGACATTTTAATTTTTCTGGTCAAACTTTGGCCTGGCATGTACACTCGGTCATGAGGTTCATTTTAGGCAAGCTGGTTAGGAACCTCGGGATAATTCCATTTAATGGTCAGAACTTTTGCGAGATATGACTGGTTGCCGTAAACAGTGGTAATCGTCTCTCTCCTCATTTTATTTGCAATCATAGTCCACTGGATTTCTCCGTTTTCTCTTTGACTTCTCTTCAACTTTCCAATCTCTTCCTTCTACCACTTGATACAAATGAACAGCAACCAAAACCCTCACACAAAGGTGCATGATCAACGGTTGTTCAAACTGAACCGAACTGAACCTACAAGCAAGTAGACGGACAGTCTAATTTACCGTATATTTATCTATTTGGGTTAAAGAAAAGGGTTCAGCACGCGCAAAAAGCATTATGTGGGTGATAAAATCCTGGTAAATCAAAACAACAATCCGACCTCCCCCTTTCTCGCACACAGAGATTATGGTGACCGTCTCTTGTGCTAAACCGTTTGTCGGCACTCACTCAGGACGAACTGCACAGAACAGGTAAAGCCGCACACTGATCGGCGTCACACTACAAGCGCGATCGCGACACCCAGGGCGAGTTGATTCCGGGTTGGATGACTAGGATGAATCAGACAGCTGTCGTCCGACGAACCAATCGGTATCAAGGTTGCGATCTGATTGGTGCATCACCACATCGTTCTCGTACGCCCAGTCTACCCACTTATATTTGCGCATCGTGTCATGGTCAGTCAACACTGTTTTTCTCTAGTTATGTTCGCTCTCGCATTATTGTTTGGGTCTGGGCAGGAAGCGCTCGTATCGATCGTACGTCTAGGTGGAGCATAGCACCTGATTAGCTTCCGTTGAGTGTGAGACAGTTAGTTAGGAAGAAGAAAGAATAGTGGTCTGACTACGAACCGGTGCACAGACATGGGAACGTGGACCACACAACTAGTTCAGGTATATTGCTCAGATTTTCTGTTAGGGGATCTCGGGATCAGCTTGACCAACGGCGGAAGTCCGTAGGTAATATGAATTAGTGACCACATAATTCTTAAACAAATCCGGTTCACCCGGGTTCCCGATCATCATTATTAAAAGCAAAAGCTCCCGGCATTATATCTCTTTTTCTTGGTCGTTTGTTCGATCAAATGGGTAGCAATCAAAATCAAAAATGCAAAATGTTATTGATTGTACGAATTATGTGTAATTAAACTTACTCCATACGTGTGCTTGGAGAATCGCCGTTGGACAGCAATAAGGTTTCTGACCGCTGCCCAAATTTAACAATATTCTGTTTTTATTCCGAGGACTATGATGGAAACTAATCGGTATATAAAGTAACGGAATATAACTCAAGTCATTCGAATTTAAAAGACCTTATAGCAGTTTTAAAAAAGTTTTTACATGCGGGTCCTATTCTGTGAGTAAGATTTTTATATTCGTATAACTTTTGAAAGCTGAGATATGATTATATTTCAGTTAAAAATTGTACACTGGTCGTCACACCGGAGAAAATATAGAAGTATAAACAAATTCAATAGAGCCCTGTGTAACAAAATAAATGTCTCTGAAGTTTGATTCGTTCAGTTAAAAATTGATGAAATTTATTTACAACTCGTTCCTTGTTGGTCAAGATGCGAGCCAGATAAAGAACAGTAGAGTTTTTATAAATGTTTATTCGAGAGGGTAGGTAACCATAAGAGGAACGAGTGATCGAGTGGGATCGAAAAGGAGATAGGTTAAGATGCCATGGATGGGTGGGGTCGTTCAGAATCTTATTGGCAAAGGTCACAAAACTTCATATGACCATTAATAAGTTCTGTGATTCATGAATCGGCAGAAATTAAAGATGCACGGTCTATTATCATTAATCCGCGATGGATGGTTTTAAAGTTTTATTTTGATAGACCGGGAAGCATTACGGGGGAGCACTAAAGTAAAATAAGGAGAACTCGTGGTTTAACAACGGAGAACAAAACTTGTTGGGGAGTGCGAAATTGTCTGAGCTTCCGAAGCTGAAAAGAGAGGCACTGAATTTTGCCCATAAAGTTCTGGATGTTTGTCGACCACCGAAGATTATTATCGATAGTAACACCCAGATATCTGGTTGAGGTCACTCTCGACAAAAAGTTACTATTAAGTGTTACAGAATCTGACGGGAATGTAGAGCGGGAAGAACTAAGAATGCATTCCAAGCACTGAGAAGTGTTAAGATTAAGGCCGGACTGGTTTGAAAACCGTTCCATTCGGGACAGATTTTCAGTTGGAGGAAAATTCCGAAGAAGAAATGGCCTGACACAAAACGACATCGTCAGCATACTTTTGGATATGAGCAGGGTGTAGAACTGAAATATATATATATATATATTTAACACCGGCTTGAGATCAAGCTTGGTGCCAACGCCATAACAATAGAACAATAGAACTGAAAGGTCACAAATGAAAGCAGAGAAAAAATATGGATACTGCCCGGGCATTGGTTTTTCTCCTGTCACCGTGTCAAGATATCCGAATGCAATTTAAGGACAGATAGGCCGAATGTTATCTGCTATCCACCTCACGAACTTACCAACAACAGTGGGTTCCAAATCGACAAAAACGGTGCGTGGAACAAATTTCCCATGTCCGGTTTCTGAGTAGAACGTACGAAAAGAATTATCCGCTGGAAAGAATCCTTCTAGCATGAGACCATCCGGACGAATACCGTGTTCCATGCCGAATAATTCCCAACATGCATTGGCCATTTGTATTCCGGCTTGACCGACATGAATACACACCACTTCACGATCACCCTGAAAATGAAACACCAGGATGATGTATAACTCCTAACGGTAATGCATATATATATATATATATATATATATATATATATATATATCACACTTGTCTGAGGACAGACTGTGTGCCAAGAAAATCATGGTACAATAATCTTTATTAAAAACGATGTCATTATAGTAATTGGTTGGTTTCAATTTAATTTGCTTTTCATTTAACTAGGGAAATACAAAAGTTCTATTGAGCACGATTCGAGTCCGGATTTATTTCGCCACATCCCAACTGGTGACCACTACAAGGCCAGTTTGATATGAACCCCTTTCTGACATAACAGAAACTTTACACACCGGGGTGCGATGGAAACTAATCATACTCAACGATTTTCGATTGGTGATCATTAGTGGGGATTAATTAGTGAGGTATGGAGGATACGGGTACCCTGCACCTCAGACTTGTTTGTGTAGTATTCAATCCTAACGGTCTTATCTGATAGCATGTAATTGGTCAATATGACTATCCCATATCGGTGGCCGAACACAAACATTGAAAATTGAAAACGGCCCTTTATTTTGTGGGCCAAAGGAGAACAGTTTGAATGAGAGCACTTAAACCTGTGTGGTTATGAGATAAACAAATAGAAGTTTGAAGTCAACAATGTGGCCAATAGCATAAGGAATCCCATTTTTGTAAAATTTGTTGGATCCTGACATGTGAATGTAGTTGCGAAACTCCTCTTACGATAACTGTATTTTCATAAGCTATATAACTAGCACCTGTTGGTAAGCAATTAACCTTGCCAGTATATGTGTAAACAATACATCTGTGTTTGTAGATGATGTTTTTCACTTGTTCTAAGACTGATGATTTTAACCAACCTAGGAAAGATAGTGATGTAATGAGAAATTAGCTGTAAATTACAGCAGTAACCGGATGTTTACAACGTACCATGTTTCATATAATTTGACAGAGGGAAGCTCGAGAGCCACTAGGAACACGCGTCAGTGTTGATTCTGTTATATGACAGGTTTCAAAACTAAACGAATTAACGATTTAATTGGGTCAATCAATACCTCGCTTGCATCACGTGTCGAAACACACATGATTTGGGATAGGTGAGCTGTGAATTAGTGGACTGCTCTGAAGGGTTCGCTACAGAAAATGCAGATATTGCTGTATTGATTTATCCAGATTGAGGGGATGGACTACATGTTGTGGAACATAACCGGAAATTTAGGATAACCTCAAATCGGAAAGTAATAAAATTACTCCTCTCCGGGTTTTGCCATTAGTATAAAATAATTTTCCATCTGCACCGAACGTTCAACTTCGAATTCGCGAATACTTACGACATTCAATTGTCTGGTTATCTAACACCATCACCAAATTGGAGCAGTGGCAATTGCTCAGTGGTGCTAATCACCGTCTTTTCTACTCAGTGTTTGAACAACACAACCTCTTGATTGACTGCGATGATTCAACCCACCAGGTAAACGCCAAACGGTTACACGTTCCAGTTCCTGGACAAAGATCCACAGGCTAATAGTATTGACAGATCAGATACCATGCGGTCCAAACAGAAGTCGTGTGATTACGAGAAACAGAAAAGTGATTGGGTCATAGTAATTGAAAGAAGGATATTTCTAATTTCATATTATCTATTTCTATTGATTTCTTACAATAAAGGAACCGCTATTTATATGGCCTTCTCCCTTCATCTCGGTGACGTGAGATTCCGGGATACGATTATCAATGCAATTGTATGTTTCATTTGACATTACTATTGATGATTCGTGATTCTTGTCTACGCGGATTAATACAATTGGACGAAACACAATGAAATCGCCTACCATTGAGCAACTGAACCTGCCTGTCAGTCTGTCTGAAATCGAGGAATCGGTGGATCAGTTCGAACTGTGGTGCAGTATTTGCAAGGCTGGCACGTAGAACCAATTGGCGCTATTTTTCACTTCAGGGACTTGTATGGTGGTTTAGCCGGAGCCTCAGGGAACGCCAGGTTTTTCAACAGGGAGTAGAGATCACGGCCGCCAGCAGTAAGAAATAGGGTTCATCGGTTCTGTGCACCACCTTTGCGAATACTGCCCCACAGTTCAAATCGATCTACCCATTCCTCGATCTTTGATGTACTTGACAGCAGGTTCAGTAGCTCAATCGTTGGGAGCTCCATCGCGCGTGGCCAATTTTTAATGACTGCATTATTAACTGTAGTAATACGCACGGAACTCGGAACACGAACCACGTAATACGAATCACGGATCAGCTATCACAGACTGGACTACGGAGGCACCGGACCGCAGTAGCACTAGCACGAAATTTCTTGCGTAACTGAGATGCGAAAAAAGGCCACCGGAATGAAAGTTCGTTTATTGGAAAAAATGAAAGCGATNTTATTGGAAAAAATGAAAGCGATTAAATATGTATGTGCGTCATTGATGTCACCTTTGAAATCTGAGTGATCGCAGTTGTCCAAATGCGCCGCTCCAGGGTAGGCGTCATCTCATAGACCTGGATCGCCACAGAAGCCCAGTGAGGAGGCCACAGAAGTAGCCGTTCATTTATTGAAAAGAATCGATGGGACTACATATTATGTAAAAAGAAATACTACCGGTTGATCGGGCATCAACCATTCGTTGATCCTGTTGTAAACAGTAAGAGTGCTAATAGGCAACCGCTAACTACCTCAGCGATGCCTAGAATGTGTAAGCGCACTACCTTAGACGGTTGGGTTGGTAGACGATAGACTCCGGTTTTATCACATGACCTGTATCCAATACCTGACCGACATTATCGCTTCCCATGTTTCCTATGCTTCCTTGCCTTAACCAGTGTCAACAGCGTTTCTCCATCTTTCGAAGTAGTTGCCTTCACTTTCGGCTGATGTAATTTGAACTAAAAAGATACCCTAATTAAGTTTCCAGTCTAGATAGAGTATCTTTGTGGCTGGTACGGACAAACATGTGAACACGCAAGGTAGTCGAGCTGCGTTGAAGATCCTCGTCACGGCAGGCGTTAAAATTTTTCTCAACGAGTGATATATTGCACCTCCTTTACAAATGTAGTTCATTCTTCTAAGCCTCGATTTTTTAGTTGGGATAGTCAACTTTCCGGATAGTTTCTGCCAGCAAGTCGTTCAGGATATCCATTTTCTCTGAGGACCACCTTGACTATTAACAGTACTTTGTTTGACATAGCAGTTTGAACATCTTCGATATTAGACTCAGGACGGGATTTCTCTTCCATCCAATTGGAACGAAGCTGTACAAATGTGCTTACTGCTCCGTCGAAGTTTGTTTGCCGTTTATTAGGTGTTCCCATGACCCGTCATCTTCACAGAAAACAGTCTCATTTACTGAGGTCAGTTTGTCATTTACTCTCTCTTGTTTTCAGAGCGAAGCAAATCAATTCACGTAGCTCGAGGAAACTCTGTAGCCCGCTACTTCTATGACCTTTTTCATGCGTCTCCGTGACAGGAGATTCCAGCTTAGGATTGCCAGTGCGAGTCCTTGTTTCATTTGCTCTTGTGATTCGTCCATGTTCTTACTACTACACCGAACACACAGAGAAAGTCACCAACTCACTAAATTCTCATTCTGTCATGACTAAAACAGAAATTTATTACCAATCATTATTACTCCTCTTTTTTGATGTGATCTTTGATCTTCGACTCCAGAAAATGGTCAAGGTGTATTTCATGATAAAGGTTCGGGAGGCAAATATATGTGGTAATTTTAGTAACACTAGTACGCACTGATCACGAATTAGAAATCACGGATGCAACGTAAGCACTGGATCACATTTGTACATGCACAACAGTATCCCATGGAACCGAGACGCAAGGAAAAGTCCAAAGGGATAGAAGCTCGTTTATTGAAAGAAACCAGGGGAATAAATAATATGTACAAAACAAATTAATTGGTCATCCAAGCTTCTTCCGTTCGCGTGCTAGTATTTCCTGCGTTGTTCAGCTTCCGTTTGGGCCGTACAATTTATGATTGGTTGGTACAGTCGACCTATGGTTTGTAGTCTGGAAACTGTAACATGTACGCGCTTTAGTGACGTCACCCGGGAAGCTTGAATTATCATGGTTGTCCACGAACTGTAGTGTGCCGCTCCGTGGTGTACGTCATCTCGTAGGCTAGGATCACCACAATATATGTAAGATAAATTGGTTGTACGAGAACAGTACAGTGACGCACCAATCAGGTTTGCGACATTGACATTCCGATTGGTTCATCGGGTAACCACTGACTGATGAATTTCACTATCATTCGATTCGGACTCCACTTAGGTTGTATATCGCGAGCGTGCTTGTGACATGGCGGGTTCTTTGAGCACGCAAAGCTCTTCAACTGCTTGCCAATGAAAAATGTCGATGTTGCACCCTTACAACCCCCCTTCAGTTTGGATATAAATCTAATAAATCTATACACTGGATGCCGTATCCACTCTTATCCATTCTATCAGTGTGTTATTAAAAACAATTCGGTCAAGTGTGTCCGTTGTGTGTGTTTTTTTTCGTCACTATTCATTCGTTGTTGGTTCTGTTTCGGTTAAGGTTTCGAAAGAAAAAAACCCGTTCGTCGGTATGGACAACCGTGAAGTATGCCGTGCCCTAAAGTTTTGGGCACTCATTTGGAAAACCATTTATTGATGCTAAAACATGACACCACATGTATTCACCGATTCTCTATGCGTGCTCATTAAAAGCCATTCTCTCGCCAAATATCACGTTTATCGTCGTGTCACGCTCGGAAGGTTATGTGTATTTCGTATCCAATGGGTCGGATCGAAAGAAACAGTACGCGGTACGCATTAAAGTAAACAATAATTGTGATTTGAATTATATTTCTATAAACCAACTCCGCGTGGATCACAAATAGTTTATATCGGAGAATCAACTCCTCCCAGGAGAAATGTTACCGTTTCATTTGGTAAGCTCTAACCTGTTCAGAGCGATGAATTCAAACCGACCGCATCGCCATCAGTTACTGCTGGCCTGGATCCACCGAAGACTGTCGCTCTCATTGGTCAATACAAGTGGATAAGGACCATGCATTTTTATGAGTCAGATTCTCTCTACTCCTGGTAGACAACTGCAACAATGTCATCGGCAGCGGATCCAGACACTATAAAGTCATCGAAATTTGCAAATTGGCCTTTGAAACGGAGCGATCTGATCACCTCTCACTTCATTCCTTAGCTAAAGGATTCAATAAACATTGGATATTAATCAACGAAGCTATCCGAATGTCAATCAAAACAAC